AGGAAATATTGGAACCACCCAACTATAAGATGCCGAAAATTTGAAACTAAAAATACCAGCAAGCAAACAATAAAGTCGTGCTGACGATCTTCAAGGATCGAAAATATAACATCATTGAATTAAATGTACGGGGAGACTTTTTACAGCCGCCACACGCACAAATAACACGGATGTGATTATAAAATAGACAAACACAGAATCCCTAAAGAAAGTCCAGCACGGCAAAAATTGAAAATGTTGCAGGCTCGGTTTAATTGAGCCTGTTCATGGACGGTACTGTAAAGTGCAAGTTACCGTCCACGCCCCCTAGCACCGGCTTAAGCAGAATTCAACATTTAAACGTGAAATAGTAAAATTTTGAATTTAGATAACATCCTCAGATGTTGTTCATTACGGCGGTTATCATGGAACCTTCAATGTGACACTTCCGTGCCATTCCATGAAAAGTGGCGTATGGTCCCAAATAATAAAAAGGGTGTGCCCCTAAACGAGAAAACAATGGGCGGAACTAAATAAAATGGAATTTTGAAAGGGGATCAGAGGTTATGAAGCCTGCGTATCACAGATAAGACGTCAAAAGACAAATTTAAAAAGCAGGCAACATATCCTAAGGGTGATTCAACATTTATTCAAGTAGGAATATTGGAACCACCCAACTATAAGATGCCGAAAATTTGAAACTAAAATACCACAAGCACAACAATAAAGTCGTGCTGAACGATCTTCAAGGATCGAAAATATAACATCATTGATTAAATGTACGGGGAGACTTTTTACAGCCGCCACACGGCACAAATAACACGGATGTGATTATAAAATAGACAAACACAGAATCCCTAAAGAAAGTCCAGCACGGCAAAATTGAAAATGTTGCAGGCTCGGTTTAATTGAGCCTGTTCATGGACGGTACTGTAAAGTGCAAGTTACCGTCCACGCCCCCTAGCACCGGCTTAAGCAGAATTCAACATTTAAACGTGAAATAGTAAAATTTTGAATTTAGAAACATCCTCAGATGTGTTCATACGGCGGTTATCATGGAACCTTCAATGTGACACTTCCGTGCCATTCCATGAAAAGTGGCGTATGGTCCCCAAATAATAAAAAGGGTGTGCCCTAAACGAGAGAAAACAATGGGCGGAACTAAATAAAATGGAATTTTGAAAGGGGATCAGAGGTTATGAAGCCTGCGTATCACAGATAAGACGTCAAAAGACAAATTTAAAAAGCAGGCAACATATCCTAAGGGTGATTCAACATTATTCAAGTAGGAATATTGGAACCACCCAACTATAAGATGCCGAAAATTTGAAACTAAAATACCACAAGCACAACAATAAAGTCGTGCTGAACGATCTTCAAGGATCGAAAATATAACATCATTGATTAAATGTACGGGGAGACTTTTTACAGCCGCCACACGGCACAAATAACACGGATGTGATTATAAAATAGACAAACACAGAATCCCTAAAGAAAGTCCAGCACGGCAAAATTGAAAATGTTGCAGGCTCGGTTTAATTGAGCCTGTTCATGGACGGTACTGTAAAGTGCAAGTTACCGTCCACGCCCCCTAGCACCGGCTTAAGCAGAATTCAACATTTAAACGTGAAATAGTAAAATTTTGAATTTAGAAACATCCTCAGATGTGTTCATACGGCGGTTATCATGGAACCTTCAATGTGACACTTCCGTGCCATTCCATGAAAAGTGGCGTATGGTCCCCAAATAATAAAAAGGGTGTGCCCTAAACGAGAAAACAATGGGCGGAACTAAATAAAATGGAATTTTGAAAGGGGATCAGAGGTTATGAAGCCTGCGTATCACAGATAAGACGTCAAAAGACAAATTTAAAAAGCAGGCAACATATCCTAAGGGTGATTCAACATTATTCAAGTAGGAATATTGGAACCACCCAACTATAAGATGCCGAAAATTTGAAACTAAAAATACCACAAGCACAACAATAAAGTCGTGCTGAACGATCTTCAAGGATCGAAAATATAACATCATTGATTAAATGTACGGGGAGACTTTTTACAGCCGCCACACGGCACAAATAACACGGATGTGATTATAAAATAGACAAAACACAGAATCCCTAAAGAAAGTCCAGCACGGCAAAATTGAAAATGTTGCAGGCTCGGTTTAATTGAGCCTGTTCATGGACGGTACTGTAAAGTGCAAGTTACCGTCCACGCCCCCTAGCACCGGCTTAAGCAGAATTCAACATTTAAACGTGAAATAGTAAAATTTTGAATTTAGAAACATCCTCAGATGTGTTCATACGGCGGTTATCATGGAACCTTCAATGTGACACTTCCGTGCCATTCCATGAAAAGTGGCGTATGGTCCCCAAATAATAAAAAGGGTGTGCCCTAAACGAGAAAACAATGGGCGGAACTAAATAAAATGGAATTTTGAAAGGGGATCAGAGGTTATGAAGCCTGCGTATCACAGATAAGACGTCAAAAGACAAATTTAAAAAGCAGGCAACATATCCTAAGGGTGATTCAACATTATTCAAGTAGGAATATTGGAACCACCCAACTATAAGATGCCGAAAATTTGAAACTAAAAATACCACAAGCACAACAATAAAGTCGTGCTGAACGATCTTCAAGGATCGAAAATATAACATCATTGATTAAATGTACGGGGAGACTTTTTACAGCCGCCACACGGCACAAATAACACGGATGTGATTATAAAATAGACAAACACAGAATCCCTAAAGAAAGTCCAGCACGGCAAAATTGAAAATGTTGCAGGCTCGGTTTAATTGAGCCTGTTCATGGACGGTACTGTAAAGTGCAAGTTACCGTCCACGCCCCCTAGCACCGGCTTAAGCAGAATTCAACATTTAAACGTGAAATAGTAAAATTTTGAATTTAGAAACATCCTCAGATGTGTTCATACGGCGGTTATCATGGAACCTTCAATGTGACACTTCCGTGCCATTCCATGAAAAGTGGCGTATGGTCCCCAAATAATAAAAAGGGTGTGCCCTAAACGAGAAAACAATGGGCGGAACTAAATAAAATGGAATTTTGAAAGGGGATCAGAGGTTATGAAGCCTGCGTATCACAGATAAGACGTCAAAAGACAAATTTAAAAAGCAGGCAACATATCCTAAGGGTGATTCAACATTATTCAAGTAGGAATATTGGAACCACCCAACTATAAGATGCCGAAAATTTGAAACTAAAAATACCACAAGCACAACAATAAAGTCGTGCTGAACGATCTTCAAGGATCGAAAATATAACATCATTGATTAAATGTACGGGGAGACTTTTTACAGCCGCCACACGGCACAAATAACACGGATGTGATTATAAAATAGACAAACACAGAATCCCTAAAGAAAGTCCAGCACGGCAAAATTGAAAATGTTGCAGGCTCGGTTTAATTGAGCCTGTTCATGGACGGTACTGTAAAGTGCAAGTTACCGTCCACGCCCCCTAGCACCGGCTTAAGCAGAATTCAACATTTAAACGTGAAATAGTAAAATTTTGAATTTAGAAACATCCTCAGATGTGTTCATACGGCGGTTATCATGGAACCTTCAATGTGACACTTCCGTGCCATTCCATGAAAAGTGGCGTATGGTCCCCAAATAATAAAAAGGGTGTGCCCTAAACGAGAAAACAATGGGCGGAACTAAATAAAATGGAATTTTGAAAGGGGATCAGAGGTTATGAAGCCTGCGTATCACAGATAAGACGTCAAAAGACAAATTTAAAAAGCAGGCAACATATCCTAAGGGTGATTCAACATTATTCAAGTAGGAATATTGGAACCACCCAACTATAAGATGCCGAAAATTTGAAACTAAAAATACCACAAGCACAACAATAAAGTCGTGCTGAACGATCTTCAAGGATCGAAAATATAACATCATTGATTAAATGTACGGGGAGACTTTTTACAGCCGCCACACGGCACAAATAACACGGATGTGATTATAAAATAGACAAACACAGAATCCCTAAAGAAAGTCCAGCACGGCAAAATTGAAAATGTTGCAGGCTCGGTTTAATTGAGCCTGTTCATGGACGGTACTGTAAAGTGCAAGTTACCGTCCACGCCCCCTAGCACCGGCTTAAGCAGAATTCAACATTTAAACGTGAAATAGTAAAATTTTGAATTTAGAAACATCCTCAGATGTGTTCATACGGCGGTTATCATGGAACCTTCAATGTGACACTTCCATTTTATTTAGTTCCGCCCATTGTTTTCTCGTTTAGGGCACACGCATTTTTTTACTTGGGGACCATATGCCGCTTTTCATGGAATGGCACTACCGTGTCACATTGAAGGTTCCATGATAACCGCCATATGAACACATCTGCGGATGTTTCAAAAATCTAAATTTTACCAGTTCATGTTAAATGTTGAATTCTGCTTAAGCCGGTGCTAGGGGGCGTGGACGGTAACTTGCACTTTCCAGTACCGTCCATGAACAGGCTCAATCAAACCGAGCCTGCAACATTTTCAATTTTGCCGTGTTGGGCTTTCTTTAGGGATTCTGTATTTATCTATTTTTTGACATTCTTTAGTCCAAACAAACTTACGCCCCTTTTCTAGCAGTTGATTTAGCGGTTTAATTACCGTGGCTAGGTTATTTAAGAACCTATGATAGTAATTTAGTAATCCGAGATATGCCCTGAGAGATGTGACATTTTGTGGACGTGGTGTATTTAAAATAGAATCCACCTTATCATTACATTTCCACAGACCGTTTTCATCAATTTCATGACCACAATATGTAATCCTCTCTTGAAAGAACTGACATTTTTCTTTATTCACTTTTAAACCATATTTTGACAACCGTTGCACTACTGTTTCTAAGTTATTTAAGTGAGCTTGATCATTTTCTCCTGTAATGACCATATCATCGAGAATGCACTGTACTCCTGGTATTCCTTGAAGAATTTGATCAATTGTTCTTTGCCATATTGCAGGTGCTGATGATACTCCATATGTCAATCTATTATAAGAATATAGACCTTTGTGAGTGTTAATCGTTAACATTTCTTTTGTTTTGTCATCGCACTCCAATTGAAGATATGCTTGGCGTAAATCCAACTTTGAATATTTCTTTCCATTTGCCAAATTCGCGAAAATGTCCTCTATTCTCGGAAGTGGGTATTTATCTACATTTATAGCTTGGTTTACGGTGACTTTGAAATCTCCACAAATTCTTACTCCTCCCGAAGATTTAACAACGGGCACAATAGGTGTAGCCCATTCTGATGTATTCACTTTCGTAATAATGCCCTGTTCTTCTAGGATGTCTAATTCCTTTTCTATTTTCGGTTTTAACGAATATGGTACTGGCCTAGCTTTTACGAATTTCGGTGAAGCATTCTCTTTGACAGATAGCGTTGCTTTAATATCTTTAACTTTCCCGATACCGTCGGAAAACACTGACTCATATCGCTTCATAATATCGGCTATACGTGTTTGTGTTGAGTGATCATCAATTGAATTCACATGTACAATACGTGACCAGTCCAATACAATTTCATTCATCCAGTCCCGTCCAAACAATGCGGGACCGTTGCCCATGACAATACACAGTTTCAGCGATTTTGACTGTCCATTGTACCTTACATTTATCAGTTTTGTAACCCGTAAGTTTTTTCTCCAAGTAAAGTTAATAAAGCTGGAACTTTTTTCTCATCGTCTATTTCATTTACTAAAAAGTACTGCTCTAAACGTTCTTGATAGCATGTCCATGATTCTGAATTGCCATCAAATCCAGATAAATGTCCAATTAATGCAGCCATTTTAACACTTATAAATTAAATCCAGAATTTTACACATATTATGATAATAACATTAATATCTAATAGATAAAATCCCCGAAATTTAATGTTCAATTATCCTCGTCGCCAGATTGTTATGTTTTCTATATAGAAGTAACACGTCTTTAATGCTGAACTATCGTTTATTAACTGATTTGATACAGAGCGTGGCATGCTAAGATAGGGTTAGTAGGCGGGGCTTATTAGTAATACATTCTGACCAATGAATAGCAGAGTAATACACAACAAGATTGTTGCCTCCTTATATTATTATATAGAACATCTCCAATGCACAACAAAGACGAATACGTGTAAAAATACATTTTTAAAGTAAAAATGGACTGATTTGGAGATATTAAATTCAATGTACAAACGTTTACTTATGCCTCAGTTGAAGGGCATTTCTTGTCACTACAGCACACCGTACAATCAAATGTGCAGACAGCAGTTCAAGCGTCGACAGCTGTAAAAGTATATACATGTCGGCGCAGGAAACACAATTGATGGACGGTAAGTATTCATCTATTTTTAACATATCGAACATGTGTTCGAGTAAATCAATGTTATGGATCGAGTTCGTAAGCATGCGGTCTATTAGAAAGTATTATGAATAAATTGATATTTTAAATGAACAAAAAAGTTTTAGTCTTTTCTAGTTACTGTAGCACAAAAGCGCTGTAAATTGTTTCCTTGAACGGCTTTCAGCGTTATTAATTCTTGCCGATGAATGACTGTCGATGTTATTATTAAAAAGAGGCGCACGGCTGATGGGGTTACTTAAATCTTGATGACACTTAAACTTAAATACCCTATAACTTTAACAGAAAAGCATTATTAAAGGTATGGTTTAAAATATTTAATGACGAATTGTTGACGTTTACGAATCGTATGGTAAAAGGATTTTTTATCATGAGAAAATATAAGTTTTTGTGACTTTAAAATAAAAATGCCGCATCTCATCGGATAGTGTGGTTATTTTCAGTCAAAATTCACGTGAAGTAAAGCTTGCACAGGGCCAGAAATGTGTTAGCATGCTCCTTTGGATGTTGACTATCGACCCATAACATTGATTTACTCGAACATAGTTGGGATATGTTACAAATAGATGAATACTTACCGTCCGTCAATTGTGTTTCCTGCGCCGACATGTATATACCGGTACAGCTGCCGACGCTTGAACTGCTGTCTGCCCATTTGATTGTACGGTGTGTACAGGCTAGGTGGATTTTCTAATTTTTAACACGACCAAAAAGCCAATAAATTTTGCTTCGAGCAGACCTTTCAATTTTTGTCGCAACATACGAGCATGGGTTTATTCAGAATTTCAGAAATGATTATGCATTAGGTTCTATTTTTTTACAAAACTGTGCAACTTTTTAAACCTTTGTTATACGACCTAGACATATGACTCATTTAATGTATCGGGATGTTATACGTATGTACATTTCTAATAAAATTACTTTTAAGTTCTATAAAAATGTATACTTGAAAATATATCGTAAAATAAAAACAACAAAGTTTGCAAGTTATTGTGCTGTTTATTTATAAGCTTTCGTGAAAATGATAATGTATTCATTTATCTTTAACTTGGACAAAACTTGAGGGTTCAAAAAAATTAATGCATTCGCCAAATATGCTGAACTCTTCCTCAGAATTTATAAGAAAAACGGGAATCGATTTTTTTCCTATTAGAAACAGATAATACATTTTGAAATTATCCATATCTTTAATAAATGTCATAACTCTTAAACTGATTAATTGTTTGGCTTACAGAAAATGGAAAGAGTTCGTTGAACATTTTTGTAATCAAAGTTCTTTTGGTAATATGCCAGGCAAATGAATGCTAAAGCTCATTTTGTAATTTCTTTGATTGAACAAAGGTTATTTAAGCATTACATTTTAAAATCCAAGAATAGTTGCACAATATACAAGAATAACAGAGACTTACGTACAGTCTGATTGAGAAATGAAACAAATATTTTTGTCAGGATTTTGTTGGTTCTTCTACTGACCATTCATATGCTCAACATGTTGGTTTTCATAGGTAAATGTGGATTCCGTGACGTCAGCAAAACATTCACGTGACTCCGAACCAACAATAAAAACATTTTGTCTGGCAATAATACGAACTTTATCTACACATCTATAGACAACTGTCAGAATAAAAACACCAAATATCACTCCTGATATGACCAAAAATGCTATTGCAAGATGATTATAACGTATGCCTTCTGTTTTATTTTCTTCACTTAAAGTCATTACACGTACACATGACTTATCATTTATATCTGAAAACGAGGCTATACATATTTCATAGTGAGTGAATGGTTGCAAAGGCCGGACTACAAATATTTTCCCAAACGTATTCAAGTTTTGAATAACGTAATCGGACGATGTCTCAAAAGTTCGATATATTAGCACGTGTTTTTGTTTTTGGAGTGTCTTGTTCCACGTGACAAGTATTGAGGTAGAGCTTCGTGACAACACATTGATTTTAATATCTATTGGTTTTAATTTGATGTGAAAATATCTAAACACGTTTGTACCATTTGATTCTACGACACATCGGTACTTTCCTTCCATGTTCAATGATAATATTTCTAAGTTTAAAAAGTAACTTTCAGCGATCACTTCTTTATTGCATACTTCCCCATGCAGCCCCGTCTGTACACGTTCCCATGTCACGTGTGGTTTTGGCTGACCAACTGCAAAACAATCCAACAGAAGGCGTTGGCCAATATAGAGAGCATACTGATCCTCTATTTGCGAAACAATGTTTTGCCCAGGATGAGTAAATTGGTCTTCGCAAGAATTATTTCTTAAAAATATTCCAATAACCGGAATGAATGAGCAGTTGATTGGTGTTTCGATAATTTTAACTTTCGAATTATTTGATATAAATGGAAATGATGTTAGGTTAGTAAAGCTGATGTCAAATGTCATATTATCCGATAAATTCTGAAATGCAAGTTCTTCTACAAATATTAATTTTCTATTCCGACTGAAATCAAATCTGCTTACACAGTCTCCGTCGGTAAAAGCACCCGTAAGTATGTATTTTAAACCAGGTAGGTTGTTCAAAATGATTTCATGTATGTGAAATTTGTTAAGACTGCCTTCTACAAATCCTTCAAAATTGTTTTTACCTAAATCAACCGAAATACAAATTACGAAATATTGTCAAATAAGATAATATTGGATCTGTTAACTTGTTGCCAGAGATATTTAAATATTTTTTAATTTTCAATACCTTTAAAAAGCTTCAATGTCGAATGTATGGATATTGTTACACGATAAGTCTAACACTTCCAAGTTGGTTAGATGTATA